GAAGGGGCTGGTGGTGAATTGGTTGCTTGCTGTGGCGGATTCTATTTTTTTCATTGATTCTCGGAAAATGTGACTCGTTCTTTGTAGCGTTTTCTCCTCTGCTCTGTTGGTGTGTTCACACTTTTTCTTACTCTACAGATTAATGCACTCCACAAGCCTGCCTTCGAGCATCCTAAAGATCTGAAGAGCAGCGGCGGTCGCCTGCGCATCGGTTATGTCAGCTCCGACTTCGGCAACCATCCGACCTCTCATCTGATGCAGTCCATCCCTGGAATGCACAATCCTGAAAAGTTTGAGGTACAATCTTTTTTTGTTTTGTTTCAGGATTCTTCATCATACTTAACCTTATCATATGTTCAGCACCTATGTCTATCAATTTACTACAACAGCTAGATTCTAAAATGTTTGTTTTCCGTTTCCAAAGGTTTTCTGCTACGCTCTTAGCCCTGATGATGGTACCAACTTCCGTGTGAAAGTGGTTGCAGAAGCTCATCATTTCACAGATCTCTCTCAGGTAACCTTTCTGAGCTGGAGAATACTTTTAGGTTTTAATCAAGATAAATGTGGGACAAAAAAGGAACTCTATTCCCTGTTCCATTATCTAAAAGGTTGCATTTATCTGTCCATCAGTCTTTTCTCTTTTCTTTCTATCTATCCTATCATCATCCTGATTCATTATTCCATCTGTGTTTGCTCATCATTCAGTCTGTCTTTGGATTATGCAAGTTTCATATCGACTGTCTCACCTAGGTAGAAAAGCTTGAAACGAGTTGATTGTAAAACATATTTGCCCATATAATTGTCGTTTGTTTTCAGATTCCTTGCAATGGAAAGGCAGCTGATCGTATTCATCAGGATGGAATCCATATTCTGGTCAACATGAATGGATACACCAAGGGAGCGCGGAATGAGCTGTTTGCCCTTCGCCCCGCCCCAGTTCAGGTGAGCGTCTGTCAGATATTCATGTAGTGGGGGGAGAAAAAAGGAACATAATTCCCCAGCTTTCCTTATGTTAGTTATTTTTGGCCTTGGAGGGGGAAAAAAAAAAAAGCTCAAACAGCTGTTTCTGCACATTGAACAGGCGATGTGGCTCGGTTACCCTGGAACCAGCGGCGCTCCGTTCATGGACTACATCATCACTGACAAGGAGACGTCTCCTGTTGAAGTAGCTGAACAGTACTCTGAAAAACTGGCCTACATGCCCAACACCTTCTTCATTGGAGATCATGCCAACATGTTCCCTCACCTCAAGGTTTGTGAAGCACCCCATTGCTGCCACCGCTCTTATTGTTCTGTCATAGAGAAACCATCTAAACAATTCATCAACTCTGCAGAAAAAGGCAGTCATCGATTTCAAATCGAACGGACACATCTTTGACAACCGGATTGTCCTTAACGGCATCGATCTGAAGGCTTTCTTGGACAGTCTGCCGGATGTCAAAGTGATAAAGGTGCGTTTAAAAAAAAAAAAAAAAAAACTGACATTGCAAAATGAATTCACAGTGTTAATTATTGTGTTAAAGTTTTGAAGTTAAAACTTTCGTTTGTGATCAGATGAAGTGCGACAACAACCAGGAGCCGGCTGCAGGAGACACAAACGGAGCCCTGTCCATGCCTGTGATTCCCATGAACACTGCAGCAGAGGCCATCATCAACATGATCAACCAAGGCCAAATCCAGGTCACCATCAATAACTTCACAGTCAGCAACGGCCTGGCCACCACACAGGTACGCCTGCTGGGCACAAATCAAAAAGTATTGTTAAGATTTAGGCATTATGGTATATTAATGCTTCAGCTCTTACTCGACAATAATTGCTTAATTTAACAGTTGTAGGGAAATGGTTTCTTTTTTTTACAGGTCAGTTTTTAAATGTTTATTTTAATCAATATCTCAGTGAATGTCTCAAAATATATTTTAGTTCTATAAACGCCATCCTTGGTACCAGAGACGCAACACTAGGTTTAGTTTGTCTCGGATAAAATCTAAAACGAGGTTTTCCCTTGACGCTTTGAGCCTTGTTGAACAAGCTGGAGACAAAAGCAGTGAAGCAACACCGTTTTGCTTCAAATTGTAGATCAATAATAAAGCCGCAACTGGGGAGGAGGTGCTGCGGACCATCGTGGTAACGACCCGTTCCCAGTACGGTCTCCCTGAGGACTCCATCGTCTACTGCAACTTCAACCAGCTCTACAAGATCGATCCTCCTACTCTTCAGATGTGGGCCAACGTGAGTTGAATCGTTGTCGTTTTTAACAGCTCTCCGTTTCCTCTTGGCTTTCTAAAAAGCCCACATTCATGTCGTCAACCTCCCTCGTTGCTGCAGATCCTGAAGCGCGTGCCCAACAGCGTGCTGTGGCTTCTTCGCTTCCCCGCTGTTGGCGAGCCAAACATCCAGCAGTACGCTCAGAACATGGGTCTGCCAGCGTCTCGCATCATCTTCTCCCCCGTGGCTCCCAAGGAGGAGCATGTGAGGAGAGGCCAGCTGGCAGACGTGTGCCTCGACACGCCTCTGTGCAACGGGCACACCACCGGCATGGACGTTCTCTGGGCTGGAACCCCCATGGTAACTATGCCAGGTGAGGAAAGCTCATTTATTATAAGAATGACTTCATTCTTGCCTTAGATAAAGGCTTTGTTTCTGAAATATGTTTTTAATCAAACTTTCTTGCAGGTGAGACTCTTGCGTCTCGCGTGGCTGCCTCACAGTTGAACTGTCTGGGCTGTCCAGAGCTGATTGCTCAAACTCGTCAGGAATACGAGGACGTAGCGGTCAAACTGGGATCTGACATGGAGTAGTACGTAGATGGCTTTTCTGAACACCTTTTTAATGGGGGTTGGGGGGGGGGGCATTCTGTTATATCTAACTTGTTTTATATTCTTCTGTCCTGCAGCCTAAAGATGGTCAGAGCGCGTGTTTGGAAACACCGAATCTGCAGTCCCCTGTTCAACACCAAGCAGTACACAATAGACCTGGAAAGGCTCTATCTGCAAATGTGGGAACATTACAGCAACGGCAGCAAGCCAGACCACTTGGTCAAACACCAAACAGTGGAGACCAGTGAGACCGCCTGAACTGGAAACTATTTTCACCCTGATCAGCAGCATAGTTTGAACGGTCAGGTTTCACTCAAGCTCCCTGCCCTTCAGTGACCGATTCCATATTTGTCATTTACTCTAAAGGGGGGACTCTTACTTTGAAGGAGCCCACACACACACACACACACACACACACGTACGTTCACACACGGACTCCCATTATGTTGTCATCGAGTCACCTCTGCTGAGCCAGATCTGAAGCCTGAGATATTTTCAGGCAGTTTGTCTGAGACTCTTGTATTGACACACTTGATGTACTTTGTGAGCATGAGAAGGTTGTGAATACCTTTAATTCCCTTCAGTACTTTTGGAACAGTGGATTTTCCTTTGAGTCCCGTCGTCGTGCGTACAGGACTAATCGCAGCTTGTGGAGAGAATGCACAGCCATCTTTAATTGTTCTGTTTAGACATGGATTAAGAGTGTTGTTGCTCCATTTAAATTGTGGGTTTTATCGTCTTTATCAAGCAATGAATGAGACATAAATTGCATCTGTTTTTTTTTGTGTGTGTGCGTGTGTGTGTATGCTGTTCTTAAATGACTGCAACAAGTAAATGTGCAAGTTTTGAAACACTTCCTCGCACACAAAATGCCAACTTTTAATAATTTTGTCAAAAGATTTGTTCAGTAGGTGTTGTCCTATTTGATGTCAAACTGAGTTTGTCCTAATTGGACAAAAATGAGTTTGGGAAGCACCTGATCATCTGTTAAAGCATAAAAATGATATCTTGATAGATTTAGTTGGGGTTTTTTAACACAAGCCAGGATTTGGATTGGTAAGTATGTTCTAAACAGTTTTTGTTTTGTATTGTTTAACTGTATGCTGTCGGTGAAGCTGCAAGTCTCTACATATAATAAAATATAGGGATTGAAACCAAAATGTTTTGTTCTGTTCTGTTCTTGGTCGATGCCAATAAGGGTTAGATCAGCAGGCACACAATAAATTCATACAAGAACTCTAATGTGTTTTTCTAAGCACTATAGGGAAGATTTTGGTGCGTAAAACTTATCCCATGACTGAAGACAAGTACAGTGCAGTGTTTAAATATACATTTGTTACGAAGTCGACTTATGGAAGCTTAGGACCTTCAGTGTTTGGATCAAAATGCTTCATATTTTCTAGAAGTCTGCTGTGGAGAATGTGGTCTCTTCTGCCACCGTCTGTTGTGGTAGCTGCATGAAAGCCAGGGACTTGAAAGGGTAAGCAACTCAATGAAGAAGGCTGCTTCCGTTCTGCAATCTACTGTAGAACGTCTGTAAGATTATTGTGAAAAGAATGATTTTTTTTTTTTCATAAAAAGCAAGAAAATGACGTATAACCCTGGTTATCCTCTTGATGAGACTTGTACAACGGTGTCTCGAGTAAGAGATTTCCTCACTGTAACCCTGACTAAGAGATGTTGCATCAGCATCTACAGTAATTCTTTGAGAAAAATCGTGAGTTACAACTCCCTTACTGGTGAATAAAGCAGTTTTGAAATTGAATGTAAAAAATAAAAAAGATACAGGACCATGTGTAGGGAAAAAAAAGTCACCCTCAGTTCATCATGCCCATGGTGGAAACATGGTGGTGGCAGAATCATGCTGAGGCAATGTTATTTAGTGGAGACGGAGAACATGGGTGGAGCCATTGCTTGTGTGTTATAGATATTTTAAGCCAGAAACAATTTTGATTCTCTACTTGTCCATTTTGCTCGCACACACACAACATGCTGTTAAGAAATATTACATTTCTTCACCAATATGGATTAAATCACAGTTTACATAATATGTTGACTAAATAACAAAAAAAACTGGTAAACAAAACAAAGTAATATCTTTACATCAATGGTTAAATGAAGCTGAACAGTATCTTACGTGTTGCGGATGTAGACGTGATGACGTATTGTTTTAGACTTACTCTGATTGGTCAAGCGTCTTCCTGACGTCTGACGCAATGTTTTCGCACGATTTGAATTTACGAAACGTTTTATTGCTAACCTGTTTCCGTCTCCATTTAATAACAGACGTGTCTGCGGTGCCTCAATCATAGTGAGTTGCTTTGAATGAATTCCGCATTTCGGTGAATACCTTTCCTGCTAGCTTTAGCATTATGACTGTTAGTTATTGCTATGTTGCTAATGGAAGTGGTAGTATTTTCTTCCCCCGAAATGTGTAGCTGCAGCGCCTTTAGGCTACAGATGATAAACGATGGGTTTTAATTGAAACTGGTTTCTTAATATTTGGTTGTGTGCTATAAGTTCTTTATTGACATCGGCTCTGTTTTTTAAGGAGAGGGAAAGGAAATGAACGATGATCTCTGCAAGTCGTTTGACAGAGTTGCTAGAAAGATGGGCTGGCTGGAAGAGGGACTGGACTCAACCCAAAACAAGGTTACCCTTTAAACATGGCCATCACGACCCCACATGGCCTTAAGCAGTGTATTTGATGAGTATTTGTGGGTTTTGTTTGTAGTTGATGAGCATGATCGGCAAGACGCGTAATGGTGGGACAAGTGGAGTTCCTAGCGAGTCCAGTGACGAAGAGTTTGACAATTGTGAGTGGTTTCTGTTTACATCCTTTTAATGATGCGAGTCCTGTTTTCTGTAAAATGTCAACTATTTTTATTATTATTATTTTAGTTCTTGTGAAAAACTTTACACCCAAAACAAAAATTAAGCCACAGAAGTCAATCAGTGCTGCAAAGACACCCAGGTATGGCAAACACAGCAAGAAACATTTTATGTTTTTTGGGTTTTTTCTTTTTTTTTTGTTACAGTATGGAAAGATTAAACTATTTTTGGTATTTTAGCTCAAATGTTCCTGTGGTGAGCTCAGGTGATGAAGACGACTTTGAGACATGTAAGTTCGTTACTACTTTTGTTTAAATGTACATCAGGCAGTTGTGGAACCGTGTCTTTGTCTCATGTTTCTCTTGCTGACACTGAAGTTTTGCAGCAAGTGAAAACCCCCGCCGCCAAAGCCAGGACAAGATCTGAAAGCGGCAGTGAAGACAGGTCAGTTTCTGACTTTATTTTTTATCGAAACATGGCTTTGAAATGAAACAAGACAAATCTTTACCCGTCCTGCCTTTTTCCAACAGCCTGAAAAACTTCATAGTGAACGATTTCTCGTCTGATGAAGATTTTCTTGAAACTAAGACATCCTTAAAAGGTAATGTTTTTAAAAAAAAATTGTTTTAGTTAAGATTTTACCTGCAACTACGGCATTCTTTTGAAATTTGAAGTTCAGTTTTGGTCACATCTGACCAGAGACTCAGTTTGCTGTGCCCTCTGCACGGATTCCAGCTAAACAAGACGACTTATGGATTTAAAATCATTTCCTTTTTGTCTGGTTTGATTATTTGTTTGGGCACTTCCCTGAATATGCAACATATTCTGACATTTTGATCTTATTGTAATCTCTTTTGTTTTGTTTGTTTTTGGCAAGTTGAGTGAACTGATGAAATGAGATTGAGCAACATTTGCAAGTTAGTTATATACGCTTTCCGTTTTGTAGTTCCTCAGAAGATCAAAACTCCAGCAGGGCAGCGTCCATTCAGAAGACCTCTCGCGCAGTTGAACTCGCCGGTGTTTGTTAGCGACAGCGGGGACGACGATGACGAAAACATTATCATGAGGAGCCCTTGGAAGACTCGTCACTCAAAGCCCAAACCTCTGCAAAGAGTCGAAAAGAGTGAAAACAAGCAGGAAGAGAATTGTTCACCATTGCTGCCCAGTTTATCGGACTTCCTCCGTCCTCCCAGTAACGCTTCGGCATTAACAACTTCGCCCAAGCGGACTTTTTCAGCACCTTGCAGGCTGGAGGAGTCGAGCGATTCTGAGGAGGAGTTTGCATCCCTGTTGGAGAGGCTGAAAAAGAAAAACAATCTCACCAGCACCACATTCAGCCCAAAGACCAGTAAAGGTAAAATCTTTGTTAAACTAATATCTGTTTCCTTAATTTCATTTTATTCATTTATTTTTTTTTTTTACTTTAGAATCTGAAACAAAGCTTGTGGTCTCAGCTCCTGCTGTGAAACCATTCGCAACACCAAGCTCGAAAGCGATCAAGGAGAAACCTCAAGACGTAAAAACGCATGGAAAATCCTCCATTTTGAAGCCTAAAGTCAGTCAGACGGACCCCAGGCCCGCTGCTGTGAGCAGGTACGTTTGCCTTCGCCGATGGCGAGCCTGCATGTCGCCTACTTTAAATGTCGTGTGTAGAGAGTTTTATCTGGACTTGTTCTTTCCAGGATTGCGGTGTGCAAGACCCCCGGCTGCTTCTTGGAGTCACTCACAGTTCCCGGCTCCATATACGGATCCATTTTCAGGAAGAATAAGGAAGAACTCACAAGCAAGCTGTACCAGCTTTACAATACCAGCGTGTTTGACAACAAGGTGATCTGAATCCAAACTTTTCTCTTGCTTCATTTTACATTCAGATGGGAGAAACTTCGGTGTTTAAGTGGATGCGAATGCACACTTTAATCATTTATTTAGTTAACAAGTATTTTTGTTAAATAAATGCACACATGCTCATTTCAGCAGGAGTACATTATTACAATATTATAAGGAATAGTCTCTTTTGGCTTTGTCCACGTAGGGATAATTGTGTGCATCAGAGGTGATGCTGTTTGCTGAAGTGTTACATTTTGGTGGACATTAGGGCTTCATGACATCAGAAAAATATTCCATGTTCATTTTATTCACGATAGAAATACAATGACTTGCAAAAAATTAACAAATACGTAAGTCTGTGGCGTTAATGTCAGTGTTCTTGGTTTGACTCATCTGCAGTCAGATCCTAGTTATTGAGCATAATGGTAATGTTTCCATTAGCTGTGGCACCCTTAGCCTGTGCTGTTTCGCTATACCACCGGTTCTCACCAGCTTATTAGGATAAGCTATTAAAAACAAGAGATAAACTATGTGTTACTGTTTTAGAAATGTTTATTCCTTGATAAATATCCTGTTAAACTAATCTAAGAGTAAAAAAGTGGAAGAAGATGTTGAATACCATACTTTGAACATTGCTGTTCATGATTTCCAGTGTTAACTTTATCGTATATCGGTGGCTGTTTTTTTTTTTTTTGTTTTGTTTTTTTTGTTGTTTTTGTTTCAGCTCCCAACCAACATGTCTGTAACCTGGAATAAGAAGATGCGGAAAACAGCGGGCTACTGCGTCACAGGACAGGAAAAAGGCGGAGGGAACCGCTACGCTCGCATCGAGCTGTCCGACAAAGTCTGCGACTCTGCAGGTGAAACTCCCCTAAAAGGCATATGCTTCTGGTAGTGGTGTCTGACGACGAGTGAACGTGTTGCCTCTTGGGCCGGTACCTGAATTCAGCGGTTTTTCCACCCGTCTCAGATCGCCTCAGGGACACGCTGATCCACGAGATGTGCCACGCTGCCACGTGGCTGATAAACGGCGTGAGGGACGGTCACGGAAACCTATGGAGGCTGTACGCACGCAAGTCCACGCTCATGCATCCTGAGCTGCCCATGGTGACGCGCTGCCACAGTTACGACATCAAGTACAAGTTCCAGTATCAGTGCAAGCGCTGCCAGAATACGTAAGTCTGAATACTGGTCAGGCTTTTCCCGACCAACACCGATTTCCCGTCTACTCTGACGTCTGACCTGCCATTTTCGATTGTGACTGATTCAGACTTTTTTCCTCTAACATTGAGGCAACATTAGGTAAAAATTTATTCTGAAGTTACTTTGACAGAGCTGTTTACTTTTGAATCCGGCATAAAAAAAAAATGAGTAGTGGGAGTTTCTTACTTTTGATGCATTTTAAGGAATAGAAATTTTCAGTGTTTGACCAGACGATCAAAGAAATTTGGCCGATTTGTTCAAGATTGATCGGAGCAGCTCTAATCACCACCACTGAAGTAATTTTCTTTTTAATTGGTTTAAACCGTTCACCACATATTCTCGTCAGCTATCTTTTTTTCCCCCCTGATTCTTCGCAGGATCGGCCGCCACTCCAAGTCTCTGGACACGCAGAGGTTTGTGTGCGCGCTCTGCACGGGTCCGCTGGTCTTACTGACGGCTTCGAAGCCACGCGCTCCCACGCCTTTCGCCACATTTGTCAAAGAGAATTATGGGAGCGCGAGGCAGGAGCTGGCGGGGCAGAGCCACGCGGAAGTGATGCGGAAACTGAGCACCGACTTTGCCTCGAAGACCAAACTCGGTGAAAGCTGAATGAGCGGACTCACTGAAAACGCTTTACCTCATTCGGTGTTCTTACCTTTTCGGGCCACTGTGATACTTTTTTTTTTTTCTTTCTTGTCGTTGGTTGCTGTAACTGGAACGTTTTCTGTCCACTATATTTTTTTTTTGTATTCAAGTTGATAGAACTATCTCATGTCTTATCCTCTCTCTAGAATATGCTGGATGATTTATTTTTTTTGGCCAGTAATCTAACAATAAAAATTTGATACATGTAAGAAATTTTATTTTAGTTTTTTTTTTTTTTTTTTTTTTTTTTTTTTCTTCCCCCTTCTTCTGCAGTAGATCAGGCAGGAAAGAGACGGAGAGAGAGAATGGCAGGAGACATGCAGCAAAGGCCTCAGGGTCAGGAGTCCAACTCTGGTCGGCTGAGTTGAGGACTAAAAGAATGCCAAGACCCACAGTTGGCTATGAAAGTAAACTTGGTGATGTTTACTGTACTGATTTTTTTTTTCTGAATTATTTATGTTGTCAAAATAAGTAAGTAATGAGTACTTACACGAGTAATGTTTTTACTCTCATGGAAATGAGTGTAGCTGAAAGATATTGGTCTGTTTTTTATTACCGTGACTTGATCAGGCAAATATTTACAGGTAGGATATATTATGTTTGCTCACATGCAGCCCTGCTGTTCTTGACTGTCATTTAATGTAACCTAAGCGAGCTGATCAAATATGGATAAATCCAGCTTGCAATAGTGAAATGCAAAAAACAAAAAAAGACAGACTGCTTCACCATATTTATTTAAAGTTTTTTTTAAATGCTACTCTGCTACGTATTCACGCTTCAATTCACAATATGCAAAGCACTCGACAATTCGGAGGAGCAAATGTCCACAGCAGAATCAAATATATAGGAAACGTACAATATTCAGCGCTCTGGGGATCGGTGGGAGGAGTGAGGAAGGTGTGTGGATCTGTGGAGCATCTTCCCTGATTGTGGTGGTGGCGCCTTTTATCAGGCGCAGGCACAAATCCACAGGGAGTGCAGGGCTGAGACGGCACTCCCCGTTTGTCCAAGTCAAGCTCTCTGCATTTCACTAAAATTGGCATAAAAAGGGCAAAAACAAAGAGCCCGGCAGAACTTGATCCACAAAGTCGTCTGGCAAATAAAGCACTGGAATGTACTTGTCACCGTTTTTAGCAGGCACTAAAAAGTTTCAAACTGAATTTGGCATCGATGTGAATCTATGTTCAATGTTTAGTTCTATGACTTTAAAATCAAATACGATTGGTAATTTGGCTTTTCACCCGACCTGTCGTCTTCCAGTCCTACGTTTACTCCACTGTAACATATCTATCACCGTGCAGTTTGATACGTTTTAGGTGAAAATTGTGGCACAACACAACAGTTAAAAGTTTTCTACATGACTGTATGAGCAGCATTACACACAACGCGCTGTCCAGGCGTGACTCTGCATCACCAGCCCCTCTGCCTTCAGTACAGGCAGGTTTTCTTCATGATGCGCAAGAACTCCTGCTCGTTTACTTCTCCGTCCCCGTCCCTGTCCGCTTCATCTATCATTTCCTGCGCAAACAGGAAATGCAGAGGTAAATAAAACGATGTTTTATCGTGGGTGTTTTGTCGTGCCACGTGGCTCACCTGCAGCTCCTCGTCTGTCAGGTTTTCTCCGAGCTCTTTGGCCACTCTCTTCAGGTTCTTAAAGGAGATCTTGCCTGTTTCGTCGTCGTCAAATAGCCGGAACGCTTTGAGGATCTCCTCTTTGGAGTCTTTCTCAGCCTGAAAATTAAGAGAGGAATATTATTAGGAATTATCTACTGGAAAAGCACACCGAACTGGAAGGATCGAGGTCTCTAAACAGAAGTACTCCGTTGTAGTCTCCCCACTTATTACCCAAAGAGGACTATGTGCGGAGTACCTTGCAAAACTATTCACATAGCTTAGCTTACCCCCCATTTTGTCACATTGACTACAAAGTTTCACTGGTTTAGATCAGTGTATTCAGTGATAGAATGGACCAGTCAAAGTCCAAGCCTAAATCCAAGGGAGAATAGGAAGTGCACTGAAGCTGCCCGATCTGACTGAGCTTGTAGTTTTTTTTTAAAAAAACGGCCAAAGCTGTTAAAGACAAAGAGTGGTTATAATGTAACAAAAATGTGAAACAGATGTATAAATACAGCTGCTAGGCACTGTAAAGCACACTATGTGCTTTCCTACCATTTTCTGTGTCATGATTGCCATAAAGTCAGCGAAGGAGATCTTCCCCGTCCCATCCTTATCCACTTCTGCAATCATCTTCTTGATCTCCTCCTTCTTTGGTTCGAACCCCAGAGCTCTCATTGCAACCTGGCTCAGAATCAGAAACGACGCACTGGAGTAAAAAAAAAAAAAAAAAACATTTTTACTCGTGTTTATGCTCAGAAAGACCTTTTACCTTGAGCTCCTTCACATCGATGTATCCAGAGCCATCGGTGTCAAACAGCTCAAAGGCCTCCCTGATCTCCTGCTTCTGCTCCTCAGTCAGCTCTGGCTTGGGAGTTGTCTTCTTGCGAGGAGGGGGCACTGGACCCTGTAGGGATGGCCTCTTGGCACTGGTTGCCTGTTTGGATTTCACAATTGGAAAATAAAATGAAAAAGCTTTTCTTTTTTTTTTTCTTTATGTGTGTTTTTCACAAAACCAACCCCACAGCTCATATTCAGAAATTGTAGTTTAAAGAAAAACGCATGAAGCCTGCCCCTCCAATAAAACCCTGATGTCACTTACCATTTATTCCTGTGTATTTTGAGTTTACTAGAGGAAATGAGTGTGTTTCTTCTCCGCCTGCAAGGCCTCTGTATCATGTAGGAGGGAGGAGATGAGTGGATCGCATGAAAGCTTAGCCTGACACCTCCGGTTTTATTTTACACAAATATCAGCCATAATGTGGAGGGGAATCGCGTTTCTAGCTAATAACCTGCGTTCCAGCAGCTGTCACGAACTGGACAATTTTAACCCACTGTTCGCCAGCCGACGCGCGCACTGGTCTGTGGCCACAGACTGAGAACCACGGTGAGGCTGCTGAGCGGAGCACTCGGTGCAAGGAATCAAACGCACCGGTCGGGAAAAGAGCTGATTGGTTGTTGAAAATCACAGGGCACACAGGATTACAAAATGATTGTAAAGCAAAATAAATAAATAAATCATAAGCTCGATATGTGGTGATCCAGCAGTATAAATATATTTTGCATCATATGCGAACACCCGTTTATCACATTTTAAATGGCGCAGTTTTGCCTCATTACTTACCCCCAGTGGCAATTTTATAAAGCTGCACCCAGATCTCCGTGTGTGATCCTGTAGTGGAGTCTGCATTGATACACCATAAGCGGAGGCCTTGTTAGGATCCTGAAACATTGGGGGCTGAAACTCGCAAGGGCTATTATGTCACTATTTTTGAGTTAAAAAAAAAAAAAAATCTTTATTTACTTGAAAACAAATAGAAAACTTTTATATGCATGTGATATGTTCTGTAATAAGTATGAGTTATGTTGGCCATATTTATAAATAAATAAACAATATATTATATATTAATAAGTAAGTAAATAAATAAAACATGGAAACCCTTTAACATTTGCTCCTTGAAAACAGACGTTATACCTTTGCTGAGCTGACACAGATATGGATGGAATCTGTTCGGTTATGACATCACATTGGTTTCCGACCCAATAGGTCTGTCACACATAAATAAATTCCTTCTGGCACGTTCCTCGCGAGAGACAGTTGTATTTATCTGCGAAAGCAAGGTAGTTTAAACTAGATACTTTGTGATTTTTCTCAACAATCCTAGTGTGCTTCACGAACCCCTGCAAACCCAGGAAGTCATGAACCGTTCCATCAATTCAGATGATCGACCAGTCCCGGTTATTCCCATGGACATGATCGTGCCTATGATCGAAGAATTTTTTTGGTCCATTTCTCTGGATCAGACGCTGGATTTGGCTGTAGGTAAAGCTGATAGCGAAACCAAATCCGGTTTGAAGGAGCTGCTGTTAGACCTGGCGGAGGAATGTAGCACCTTCATTCTCCACAACATCCGAAATGGACGAATCAGATCTCAGGACGTGGACACCGTCGTTGGCGATGTCCTGCTAACGACATTTGCAGACATCCTTCAGATTAGGGAGAAAGTTCATCCCAAGACCTTCGACCTTTTCAATGAGTCATTCATTAAATATGTCAAAGAAAAGGTGAGATCTACGATCTGTTACACGCAAGATCAAGCAGCTTCCTTTGTCCTCCAAATCTCTGAGACAGACGGAGTGGACCGAGTCCTGCCGCACGCACTCAGATTAATAGAGGAATTGCTAGTGTGGAGCTGTAAAGAACATCGGCAGAGAGAACGAAAAGCTGCTGAAGCCCAGCATAATGCCTACAACAAGCAACAGAGGGTAGCTGTTATCTTTGAGGCTGATCATTTCCAAGGTGTGGAGAAAAACCCCATCAAAACCCCACAGAACAGAGGGACCCAAAGAGATAGAGTGCTTCATACCGTCCACGATGGGAATTACACGCACTTCAAAGTGAACCTGTTACCGGTCATCGTAGAGACACCAGACACTGAGGAGGCAACAAAGATGATAGAAGAGAGAGATCCTGTTCCTGAAAATCAGGACTCAGACCTGAAGATTGTGGATGAATTCATCTTGGAGGATCTTTCAAAGATCACTAAGGTAAATGATTTCGTCTCCATGGAGACAAATTCAAATTTAAAATTTTAAATAGATTTGTGAATTGGGATATTTCAGAACTGACAAAAGCAAATAATCGTATCTCTTAGGAAAAGGAATCAGATCTGAAAATTGTGGATGACTTCATCTCTGAGGAGTTGTCAGAGGTCAGAGAAGCGAAAAAGGCCATCTCTGAACAACAGCGTTTAGAGATCCCTGGTGTTTCATTGGATGCACTTCAACCAATGGAAAACTGTGGATCTAGATATTACGTCGCTCCACTACCCTTTGAACAACATAAGAACAAAGATGCCGGAGTCGCAGTTAAGAAGTTCTGTAAAAAATATAGTGAAGGGCGATACAAAAGAGTTGCACCAGCACAGAAACGTGAAGAAATACCAGGTCCTTCAGTGGACGACTTCATCCCAGACAAATCAAACCTATCAACAGGGCTACGATTTGTTAATGAGGAGCAGCAACCAGAGATGACCACAGAGGTTGTTGAGGCGCTGTCACTGGGCTCAGGCAAGGAGAAGCAGGAGTCATCCATCTTGCTGCTTGCTAATGCAGTTGTAATGCAGGCCGTAACACAATCACAGGTAGACTGCAACTACAAAGACTTCCAAGCCATCACCAATAGGCTGTCTGAGAAAATCTATGCCGAGCTCATGGGACAAGAGTTGAATAATATCCAACGTAGCCTGAACAAACTCAGCGATGACATATTGAGAGGAGTCTCTAAAAGGATGTGCTGTGCAAAAACCGACGTTCTTTCACTGTTGGTTTTAAATGACTCAGTCGTAGACGAGGCATTCATTTCCATCTGCAAAGAGAAAATATTGAAACCAGCCAAGAAGCTAGGCGTCGTCAAACGTTTCTGGGCCTCCGTAGAAAAGGCTCTTTTCAGCCTCTAATAAACAGATTCTGTTTATTGGAGAACCTGTTTACTATATAAAAAAACCTTATTTCTTATTGAAGAATAAGAAGTGAGGTTTCTTATTTGTAGACATGGTTTTCTACAAGACCTTCAAAAAATGTTGTGAGGAGCATAGATAATAAAATTAGCAAAGAAATCAAATACATTTAAAAGTTTATTGGTCCTAGTAAGTAAAGCTTTCCAAAAATATATATTGAAACTTATATGTTAGGTTCGTTACTGAAACAGTTAACAAACCTAACATATTGAAGTTTCTTGGCCTTTGTAGGCAAGGCTTTCCACACAAGCACTTTAAAGAGTTATGAGAGGCACTGTAAATGGTCTGGGAAAATATGTATGGGGATTTTCTGCCCCACACAAAAAAGTTGCAACCTGCACCGTTTTCTGTCCTGAGATCCAAGATAGGCGATAGACTGGTGACCTCACCACAGGGTACCCCACCTCTTCCAGATGGGGAAGAAGTACCCCACCTGCTGAAGTACCTCCAGGTGATATTTACACAACCTGCTGATTGTGTAATACTGATTGCACAATCAGCAGGTGCAGAAATGGAGGATTGGATGGATGGTTAATCATCTTTCTGAGATCATTAAGGGAAACGCTGATGAAAAAAAAAAAGCTTATGATTGGCTGTTGAGTGCCTATAGATTGGAAGGAAAAACAAAGTCGTGTCGCCTCCTTCCTATATCCTCAACATACCACATACCAAGTTGTGCTTCTTTTCATTTTTTTCATTATTATTTCTATTATTATTTCCATTAAACCTCAGTTCAAGTCTGTCTGAGGTTCTTAAAAATTATATACCCTTTTCTGTGGTTGAGTTGGAAGTCAGTGGTAGTGTCCTGTTTTCTTCGTTTTGGCCTTGGCTCCCAACTCTTTTTTTTTTTTAATTTTTATTGAATATCACTTTGACCATTTTTATTGGTTGGATACAAAAAAAAATCTGATGACCTCTGTGATGTACTGGTGACCTGTGGAGGGTGACATCACCTCTGACCCAGTGACAGTGACCACTGGACATAGCCTCCAGTCCCATGTGATCCTCTTGGGATCAAATGTCACATCCACAGAGTTGTGCTCAGGATGCCTCTTGTGTGCCTCTCCTGCCTCATTCCACAGACAGTAGCAGGTGTTTTCTCACAGCTGAAGTTCATTAATGTTATCGGGAGAAGCTTTCAGAAGAGTGGACTCCCTGAGGCAGACACCAGATTGTTCTGCTCACATCAGAGGTACGCAGCTTCTCTTCTCTGCGTCTAACGTTTATGGATTTCTTTGCTGTCTCTGCTCAACAGAAATCAGTTTCGATGTTGACACTCAGTTCTTGGACTCCAGTGAACTGCTTCTCTGTTCCTGTTGTCTGGAGAAATCTCCAGAATCTCCTGACCACTTCTCTGGCTGCCCTGATCTTACAAGCTCTCCTTTACATCTCACCTGCCTGGCTGCCTTCTAACTCTTTACTGATCCACAACTCCAGCCTGGTCTCCCCCATAATGCAGACCTGGATTCTTGTTGCAAACCAAGGAGACTCATCACATCTGGTGATTGACTAAGTGCATAAAGCCTGGAAGGAAATCTGAGTCCCGTCTCTTCCTTCCTATATCCCCCAGCATAAATCTGCACACCAAGCTGTGCAGATTTATTATTAATAAACCTTTCAAACTGTCCTTTGGTGTCTGTGATTCTCCTTCATTCAGTAAAACTTAATTCAATGAAATAAAGTTTTATTCATTTTATTGAATGAGCAAAATGAATAAAACTCATTTACTCATGAAATGCATTGGTTCTGAGGCAGAACCAATGCATTTCAGCTTTTTATTTGCATCTTTCAGCCTCTCAATAAATTTCTCTTGTGACGTCAGCTATGAGGGCAATGAGTCTCTTTTACGCGCCTTTATAATAGTAATATTATTATATAATTCTAATAATATTATAAGCATAGTAGTGTTATTATACTTATTCTTATAAGTATAATAATAAATGCTTATCATTTAGGTCACTGAAACCACCCCGAACTTGCACCAGACTCTGAACAATAAGATCTATTTATTGTTAAAGTTCATTATCAATGATCTGCATGTAGGAAAGATGCAACTGTTTCCTCATTCATTCACCTCCTGCAGCCTGAAGAAGTGACAGGCTGATGATTCATCTCCAGCAGCTCAGTAGAAGCTCCTCCCTGTATTTGCAGGATTTGAAGGGAACATCTTTTGTGAAAGGTAACAATGAAATGATAAAATAGACAGAAATCTGTAAAAACGCACAAAAACAGGACCTAACAAGCCCTTATTGTATAAATTATATGTCCTCTTGTTTTAATAGAATACCAACAAAGCTGAATGAACTCTAGGTTTTGTGGTGAAACGTCATGCCGTAAACACTGAGGGGTGGCTTCCGAGATAAGGGGCGGAACTAAGCTTATCACGGTTCTCCATTGGCTAAAATTGTGGCGTTCTTTGACGTATCGCAAACCTTATTGGCTGTTTGTGAACGTCACCTTTGCGTTTGACGATGTCTTGACCAATCACACAGAGGCTATCTCAGCTGATTGAAACTGTTCATATTAGTTCATTGTTGAGTTTTGTGGAATAGTTGTAGAAGTTGCACACCGTGTTCAGTGGTCTACGTGTCTGTACCGCTGTTTAGAAAATAAAGGAGAAGCATCCTTCCTGAAGCTAACTTCTCCTCACTGCGGTAAAAAAAAAAAAAAAGTATTTTTTTTTTCTCCACCTGTGTGCCAGTTTTACCTCACTATGGCCACACGTGTTCGACCGGTGAGTTGCAGATAATCCGTTTTAAAGTTTTTATTCGTGGTGGCAGCTGTGTTTGGGCAATAATCGCTGTGATTGTCTGCCGCAGGTAAGTAAGAGGTGTGCAGTGATCGGGGGGTCTGGTTTTCTAGGTAGACACCTGGTGGAGAAGCTCCTGGACAGGGGCTATTCGGTGTCTGTGTTTGACATCCGGCAGAGCTACGAGCTTCCAGGCGTCACCTTTCACCAGGGAGACCTCTGCGATAAGCAGGTCAGACTTCCTCTGTCACTATTTGCTCCTTCCTCCGATGGGATTCACAGATGGAAGCAGAAAATTATTTAACAGTTTGAGACTGGTCTAGGGAAGCAGTTAGCAATGTCTTCAGCTTGTCGTTTCCCAACCCTGGTCCTCAAGGCTCACTGTCCTACACGTATGAGAGGTTTCCCTGCTTTAATGTGCCTAATTCAACTGAGTGCAGTTCAGCAAACGCCTGTTAATCAGTCATCGATTGAAATCAGCTGGACTGAATCAAGGGAATATCTAAAACATGCAGGGCAGTGTGCCATGAGGACCAGGACCCTTTTCTACATTTTCTCACGCCACAATGTGTTTTATTTTATTTTATTTTATTTTTTATTTTTTTGGAGTGAAAGTATAGCATGTCGTCAAATGTGAGAAAAATAAAACATATTTTTCAAAATGTGCACTGATAAAAATCTTGAAAGTGTGGCAGGTTCTTCCCCTTGGGCTGTGTATTTCTGCAGCCCCTCTACCAGCAGGTTCATGCTTGTCTGATAATGATCCACTTGTCCAGCCTGATAGCTTTTTGTCGGCCATTTCCGGACAGGTTTGCAGTTGTGCCACTACACTTCCCATTGTAGATTGAAGGATTAAACCAGGAGATATTCAAATCTTGGACAAATATTTTCTAATCCAAACCCACTTTAAACTGCTCCACAAATCATCCACTGCTTAGCATTTCTCTTTGTTTTTCTTGTCCCCTACTCCACATCTCCAGCACAGATAAAATTGATAAAGACACTTTTAAAAAGCTAGCAGTCAGCAGCTGTCCCTGTGCTTTTCTCGTCTCCAGGCTCTGCTTTCTGCTCTGAAGGACGTGTCTCTGGTTTTCCACTGTGCCTCCCCAGCTCCTTCCAGTGACGACCGGCTGCTTTTTGAGAGGGTCAACATTCGGGGCACCCAGACGGTTATTCAGGCCTGCCTTGACGCCGGAGTACAGGTGCTGCTGGTTTTTCTTTCTTGTTGGCTTTGGAAATATTTTCTTTTAAGAACTGGGATTAAATGCATAAGTGGTCATGTTGACAGAAACTGGTCTTGACGAGCAGTGCCAGTGTGGTGTTTGAGGGCACAGACGTCAAGAATGGAAAAGAAGATCTGCCGTACGCCAAGAAGCCCATCGACTACTACACTCAGACCAAGATTGAACAGGAGAAGGTAAGAGGCATTGAAAAGGACTTCTTATCTAAGCAAACATCTCTTCCCTCTAGAAATCAAACAAAATTGCAAACAAAACACTTAAGAAATACATAAAAACTCTATTTACAGACTTTTCCTGGTAATATTGCAGTGCAATCCTCTTTGCCGAACCTCCAAATTTGACCTATTTGGTGTGTTTTAGTTGGTTCTGGGGGCGTGCAACAAGCCAAAGGGTTTCCTCACGGTTGCTATTCGGCCTCATGGCATCTTTGGCCCTCGGGATCCACAGCTGGTCCCCACCCTGGTGGACGCAGCCCGCCGGGGGAAGATGAAGTTCATCATCGGGTGAGTGATCATTTCGGTCCTCGAAGGCATTAACTATTCAAGCCACTTCTTTTAACTCAAAAACCATGGATGAGTATTTTTTATTATTATTATTATTATTATTATTTTTTTTTTACAAATAATCAAGCTACATAGAACCTTGTTTAATTAATTTAAATGTTTAAGATACAAATATGACATCAGGCCAATTACAAAAGCACTATTTTTAATTGAAATATCTGGGCTTGGTTAAAGAAAAAAGGTTTAATAACTGCTTTAAAGTTTTTTTAATGTACTTTTTATTTTACATATGAGCCTCATCAGAATGCATGTTCTAATTTGTTGAATATGACTGTGTTTTTTTAAGTTTATTAATTCCCCTGTTTTAGAATTTAGTTCAATTTGTGCCAGAGACGCACTGAGAAATTGACTGATGACTGAAATTTATGGGCCCTCACTGGTCTCCAATTAATCCAACACATATTCATTCAGTCTTTCTCTGATCACTTACTGCATCACTAGTGACAACAACACTCTCAGGAGTGGATGCTCTGCTGTTGCTGAGGGGATATTTTCCTAATTTGAGAGGTTTAAACATGAGGTTAGAGGAAGCACAGAAACTATAGATGGTTGTTAAAGAAAAGACTGAATTTTCTGCAGAGGAACATTGG